CTCTCTCTCTCTCACACACACACACACACACACACACACACACACACACACACACACACACACGAGACAATATGACGGCACATTATATCCCAATAGCCAATAGCAATACTTTCCCGGATAGGAAGGGCTTATGATCTCTCAGCCACGGGGGCTTTTGACCAGGATTACAGAAGCAGTCATGAATCCTCTTCTGCAGAGCAGACTTCAGATCTAGTGAAAAAGTGATTGGTTACTCCCCAACCCATCATGCCCCTCTTGTACCAATGGGCACATTTTCTGCGGCTGGTCAGTAGTGTGATACACAGAGTCTACAGCTGAGTAAGATATTGATGACAGTTCTCCCCAGAAGCTTGAACAGCACCTATTGGTACTATGGAAGCTAATCAGCAGGGAGGAAACTTCTACCTCAGTTCTAGCTTGTCTGTCTAACCATCAAGGTATCTTGAGCAATATGAAGTATGGCTCAGGGGTTAAGAGCACTGGCTGCCCATCTAGAAGACCCTGGTTCAATTCCCAGCACCCACATGGCAGCTCACAACTGTCTGTAACTCCAAGGTCTGGCGCCCTCACACAGACATGCGGGCAAAACACCAACACACATAAAGTAAATAAATAAACGCCCTTTGTTTGTTTGTTCGTTCTTGTTTTTTGAGACAGGGTTTCTCTGTGTATCTCTGGCTGTCCTGGAATTTGCTCTGTAGACCAGGCTGGCCTCGAATTCACAGAGATCTGCCTGGCTTTGTCTCCCGAGTGCTAGGATTAAAGGCGAGCATCACCGATGCCACCACCCATGGGGGGGAGGGGGTTGACCTTTGATTTTTACATTTGAGAAAGGACAAGTGAGGTGATATAACTAGCAAGTGGCAGGGGCAGGATTAGAACTAAGATCTGTTTAGCTTTTGTCTGGGAGTTCAACTCCTTTACAACGTAGCAAGCCAGTCAATCAATTCTGTATTACCCGAGTGTGGTGGCACATACCTATCATCCCAGCCCTCATCTGGGAGGCTGAGGAAGGAATCTGGGGAGTATGAGGCCAGCATGAGCTATATAGTGAAACATTATCTAAAAAAAAAAAAAATTACATTAATGAACGTCATGATATTGAAAGGTTTTTAAAGAGATTTTCTTTGGAGCATACTAACTCCCAACAGCTTCTGGGTTAGCACTCTGTCACTTAACCCGACAGGGACATCCATGCATAAAACCAAAGTGCAATCAAAGTACAGTTCTTGTCAAATATTAGCACTGGAAAAAGAAAACATTAACTGAATACTTTTTTCCCCCTCTTTCAAACAGCAGTAACTGTTCAAAAAGTCTAAGCTTGCACTTGATTTTTTTGCTACCTTTTATGAATTTGACAGCTGTGCATTTGGAATCTGTTCAAATTCTATTTGTAGCCAAGTCACGTGAACAGAAGAGTCTGTACATCTGTTTCTTCACGTCGCTAGAGTAATCTGTATTTGTAGATTGCCTTATATAATTTTGAACATGTTAGTGTGTTCACTTACCATAGTTCTTTTGCAATGGTGTGCTCTTTATTTTTTTAAAGGTATGATAAGGGGGCAATGCTTTTTATAGTTTTATATTTGGTTAAAGATAAAAGAAAATAATATGCATTAATTATGGTGTATACCCATGTGACTGACCTCCATGTATAGAAAAAAAAAATTGACATACCCTCTCCCCCAAGTAAGGGATCCAAGAAACAACACACACACACACACACACACACACACACACACACACACACACACACACACACACATCATGTATATCTAGGTTGGAGATGTATCTTAGTTGGCTAACATGCACGAGGCCCTGGGTTTTGTCTCCAGCACTGTTTAGAACAGATAAGGTGGCACATTCTTGCAAATCCATCTCTTGGGAGATGGAGGCAGGAGAATCAGGAGATCAAGGTCATCATCTGCCACTTAGTAAGCTTGAGGCCACCTTGGGCTACCTGAGACTCTCTCTCAACAAACAAGCATCCAACCATGTATCATCACCACATGTAGTT